ATAGGGTATTTATAAGAAAAAAATTTATAGGAGGGATACTAAAATAATATTGAGCTAAGTACTATATAATTAATATTTTATTCAGGAATATTTAATATTAGTAGTATTTTGTTTAAAATTTATAATATCAACACTTGTTGCGTCCTGGAATATTCGTGACGGTAGAGAAATATATAGTTTAACGTCTTAGTATTGTACGAAGATCCAGCACACAATCAGATAAGAGAGAGGGTGAAGCGTTCATAAGAGACACAAGAGTTTTTACGTAGAAAACCCTGAAAAAGGGGGGAAAACCACAAGGCCTAGCCTAGTTTGAATGAATCCACTAGTATTTGTAGTCGATTACAAATGAGGATCTTCCTTGGGAGAAGGCCTTGGCTTGATGATACAAATGTGCATCATATAGAATAAATTACATGGTGGGAGTTACAATATAGACATATTTGTTTGGTCAGCATGATCATAGTCGGTAGGATGAAGATCGAAAAGATCGTTGTCTGGTGATGGAGGTCGGAAGGACCGTAGTTGGCAGGAGACCAAGGTCAGAAAGACCATTGTCTAGTGATGGAGGTCGGATAGATCATAGTAGGTGACGGAGGTCAGAAGGACAGTAGTCGATAAGAGACAAGGGTCAGAAAGACCGTTGTCTAGTGATGGAGGTCGGATGAACCATAGTAGGTGACGGATGTTAGAAGGACCGTAGTCGGCAGGAGACCAGGGTCAGAAAAACTGTTGTCTGGTGATGGAGGTCGAAAGGACCATAATCGGCAGGAGACCAGGGTCAGAAAGACCATTGTCCAATGATGGAGGTCGGATGGATCATAGTCGGTGACGGAGGTCAGAAGGACCGTAGTCGGCAGGAGACCAGGGTTAGAAAGATCGTTGTCTGGTGAGGGAGGTCGGCAGTATTCTAAGAGAACTTTGGGCATCAGGTGGTGGCCTAATGGATGCTCAAGGCCTCAAGTAGTGGTTCAGCGGAAGTCTGGGCCTCAGGTGATGTTATGGTGGAAGTCCGGGCCTCAGGTGGTGGCCTAGTGGAGCACAGGGCCTTAAGTGGTAGTCCATAAGAAGTCTGGGACTCAAGTGGTGGTCCAGCAGAGCAATGACATTAGGCGGTGGTCCGGCGGAGGTGAGGGTCTCCAGTGGTGGTCCGGTGGAGCAACGGTATCAGGCGGTGGTCTGATAGAGGTGAGGGCCTCAAGTGGTGGTCCGACAGAGCAACGACGTCAGGCGGTGGTCCGGCGGAGGTGAGGGCCTCAAGTTATGGTCCGGCAGAAGTCCGACAGTGGTCGGGAAGGCGAGGGCCTCAAGTGGTGGTCTGACGGAGCAACGGCGTCAGGTGGTGATCCGGCGGAGGTGAGGGCCTCAAGTGGTGGTCTGCCAAAGGTCCGGCGGTGGTCCGGCGAAACTCCGACGGTGGTCGAGGACGAGCTTGTTCCTTCTCTTCTCATCTTCTCTTCTTGCTCTGGTCCCCTCTCAAGAGAAATGACAATTCTATTTATAGATTTCTGGAGTGGCATGACCCGTAAATAGGTGAGAGATCAAGGGTGAATGGGGAGTGGTTGGATGGACGGTTGATATTGAATCCCTTAATTATGTACCGTTTGTCAGACATTTGAAGGCCTTAATGACTTTTGAATTTGGAGATCTTGGGCTTGTTGGATTTGTCTCATCGAGCCGCTTAAATTCGACTATAAGCATGTCATGTTTGGATACCGTTTGCTAACCCAAATTGTGGTTTGAACCATCCAACAGCACTTCGGGTCCTTGATTTGGACTCATTTGGGCTCGGATTGAGTCGAATTTGGTGTCTTTGGGTTTGTATTTCCGAGGCGTTCAGTTTGACTATAAGTTGGCTGAAATCGGAGTTCAGGTGATCCCATATTTAATTTTTGAAGTTTAAGGCTTGATTTTGCATCGAGATTCGTGTCCAATCAAGATAATTTTTTGAGGACGTATTAGTTGCCCCCCTATTTTCGGACGTGAAGCTCCAGAGGTCTGAAAATATGTGTCACAGCCATTAGGGATTTTTTTGTGTGATTCAAAACTTAGAAATACTCCAAACTTGGTCGTAAAGTTCCCGAACGGCTTTCAAATGGCCAAAATTAAGTTTGGAACATTGAAAAAACGATTTCGGGGACCCCAAAAACGTCCGATTTGACCTTTTCGGACCCAAATTTGGGCCCGAGAATGCGTCGGGACGGAACTGTCGCTGGCGAATTATTATTATAAATTTAATTTTTTTTATTTTTTCTCCCATAACTCCCACAACTTCTCCAACTTTCCCCTCTCACCTATAAATACCCCCCTAGGGGTTAAGAAATTCTTACACCTTCTTTTCTCCCTCTATTCTTATAATTGAGGCTTTGGTCCTCCAAGACCCCTCTCTTTGCAAGGAAGTCTGGAGATCCCCCGTTCTCTCTCTATTCATACAATTGAGGCTTTCCCTTGGACGTCCAAGACCCCTCTCTTTGTAAGGAAGTCCGGAGACACCCCCCCTTCTCCCTCTATTCTTATAATTGATGTTTTTTTTGTCCTCCAAGGCCCCTCTCCTTGCAAGGAAGTCTGGAGATCCCCCATTCTCCCTCTATTCTTACAATTAAGGCTTTTTTTGGTCCTCCAAGGCCCCTTTCCTTACAAGGAAGTCCGGAGATCCCCCCTTCTGCCTCTATTCTTACAATTGAGGCTTTCCCTTGGTCCTCCAAGGCCCCTCTCTTTACAAGGAAGTCTGGAGATCCCCCTTCATGAATCATGTTCCCACAAACAGCGCCAAACTATTATGTCCTAGAATATTTGTGGCAGTAGAGAAATATATAGTTTAATGTCTTAGTATTGTATAAAGATCCAGCACACAATCAGATAAGAGAGAGGGTGAAGCGTTCATAAGAGACAACATAATTTTTACGTGGAAACCCTGAAAAAGGGGGGGGAAACCATGGGGTCTAGCACATTTTGAATGAATCCACTAGTATTTGTAGTCGATTACAAATGAGTCCCTTCCTTGGGAGAAGGCCTTGGCTTGATGATACAAATGTGCATCATATAGAGTGCATTATATGGTGGAAGTTACAATATAGACATATTTGTTTGGTCGGCACGACCATAGTCGGTAGGATGGAGATCGAAAAGACCGTTGTCTGGTGATGGAGGTCAGAAGGATCGTAGTTGGCAGGAGATCAGGGTCAGAAATATCGTTGTCTAGCGATGGAGGTCGGATGAACCATAGTAAGTGACGGAGGTCAGAAGAACCGTAGTCGGTAGGAGACCATGGTCAGAAAGACCGTTGTCTAGTGATGGAGGTCGGATGGACCATAGTAGGTGACAGATGTTAGAAGGACCGTCGTCAACGGGAGACTAGGGTCAGAAAGACATTTGTCTAGTGATGGAGGTCGAAAGAATCGTAATCGGTAGGAGACTAGGGTCAGAAAGACCGTTGTCCGGTGATGGAGGTCGGATGGATCATAGTAGGTGACGGAGGTATGAAGGACCATAGTTGGCAGGAGATCAGAATCAGAAAGACCGTTGTCTGGTGATGGAGGTCGGCAGTATTTTGGAAGAACTCCGGGCATCAAGTGGTGGCCTAGTGGATGCTTAAGGCCTCAAGTAGTGGTCCGGTGGAAGTCCGGGCCTCATGTGATGTTCTGGTGGAAGTCCGGGCCTCAGGTGGTGGCCTAGTGGAACACATTGCATTAAGTAGTGGTCTGGAAGAAGTTTGGGACTCAGGTGGTGGTCCAGTGGAGCAAGGACATTAGGCGCTGTTCCAACGGAGGTGAGGGACTCCAGTGGTGGTTCGGCGGAGCAACATCATCAGGCTGTTGTTCGACGGAGGTGAGGGCCTCAAGTGGTGGTCCGGCGGAGCAACAGCGTCAGGCGATGGTTCAGCGGAGGTGAGGGCCTCAAGTTGTGGTCCGGCGGAAGTCCGGTGGTGGTCGAGGAGGCGAGGGCCTCAAGTGGTGGTTCGGTGGAGCAACGATATTAGGTGGTGGTCCGGCGGAGGTGAGGGCCTCAAGTGGTGGTCCGGCGAAAGTCCGATGGTAGTCCGACGAAACTCCGGTGGTGGTCGAGAAGTAGCTTCTTCCTTCTCCTCTCCTCTTCTCTTCTTGCTCTGGTCCCCTCTCAAGAGAAATAAGGGTTCTATTTATAGATTTCTGCAGTGGCATAACCTGTAAATAAGTGAGAGATCAAGGGTAAATGGGGAATGGTTGGATAGACGGCTGATATTGAATCCCTTGATCATGCACTGTTCGTTAGACATTTGAAGGTCTTAATGACGTCATAATTTGGCGATCTTGGGCTCGTTGGATTTGTCTCGTCGAGCCACTCGATTCAATTATAAGTACGTCATGTTTGGATACCGTTTGCTAACCCAAATTGTGGTTCGAACCTTCCAACAGTGCTTCGGGTTCTTGATTTGGACTCATTTGGGCTCGGATTGAGTCGAATTTGGTGTCGTTGGGTTCGTATTTCCGAGACGTTCTGTTTGACTGTAAGTTTGCTGAAATCAGAGTACAGGTGATCCTGAATTTAATTTTTTGAAGTTTCGAGCTTGATTTTGCATTGAGATTCGTGCCCGATCAAGATAAATTTTTTAGGACGTATCAACACTAATCAATTTTCAATATCAATACTAATTAATAAAAATAATATTAAATTAAATATTAATATTAAATAATATTTAGCTCAAACATTTTTCTTAAGCTATATTGTTTTTTTCCCCCACTTCTTTAGCACATAGAAGGATGTAAACCAAAATATGACAACACATTTTAGGGTGTTGATCTAACAGCCCAAAAAACAATAGACGGCACTGATCTGAGAAACTTAATAAAAAAAATAATCTTATTGTTGGATAGGATCTTGACACCATCACTTTGGATAGCTTGTTTTGGTGCTCTCTTGGAACAACAATAGCCACAAACTCCCATCGAAAAATAAAGCCAAAGACACGTTTGAACCAATGAGATCTCGGATTTTGATCGAAAGCTTTCTCAGCCACTACTTGAACTCCATGGTAAAAACATATAAGGCGGTCATGTGAGTTACAGTTGGGAAGAAGAACTTCTCCTTCATTCCAATTCTACCATCCAGCAAACCCTAGAGAGTGGGAAGGAGAAGAAAAGTGCCAAGGAAAGGGCTTCTGATTGGAAATCGGGTTGAGGTTTGTAGTTTCCTATTCGTTTCATGTATTGGTTGTTGAACAAGTTGATATTTTTTGTTGATTTGCTTGTTTTTCTTTGATTTATGTCCTCAAAGATGGGATTTTTTTCTTCTCTTCTGAAACTAGCTGTATTTTTTTTTTTTGGTGAATCACTGATGGGCAGCGAGTCTGGTGTGATTTTTGCTTGTGTTAGTTGGAGGAAAGTAGGGTTCATGCCTGTTGATGCGATTTCCAAGGTCTATTTTGTTCTTGACGCTCTTTCCGTTCTTCCAATTAGCTAAAGTTATAACGTAATTATTGCAGTGGGTTGCGTTTTTTTTTTAGGGTTTAGGAATTGGTTCTAGGGATTGGAGCTTGCGTTATAAGTTTTATATGTTAAATTTCTCTTCCTCTGAAACAAAAAGGGGTTTTCGTTAGATTTTTTTTTATATATAAATTTGACAGAAATTAGGTTTTGTTCTTTCGCTGGTTTAATGGATTCCGATTTAAATAACCAGGGCAATATTGTGATATTTACTTCTTTTTTTTTTCTCTGCCTCGGCTTGGTTTTAGCTAAATATTGATAAGTTTGATTGATGTAAATGAAAATTGATGAATCTAAATTTGTAAAAAGCCTTTTATGTGCTATATGTATGAAAAAAATAAATGAGAAATTATTGTGCCTTTTCAGAATCAGCAATATGGAGTGGCGTCATGTTGAAAGTAATGATTTCATGGTTCCTACTGGACAAGATGGGTTTGAGGTTATACCGCCATTAACAGAAGGCTGGTTTCAGTGGCGAGTTAGGGGATTTGAGGATGATGGATTGCCGGGGAATTACAGTTGCACATCTGAGAAGGAAATTCTGGCAAATTTTAACGCTGATACGAGAGTGCCACCTCTGAAAGAAAGCAAGGTCCCTCGAGATTATCTGGGTGAAGGATCAAGCTGTTCTAGTCCTCGTGAAGGTTTTTTGCTCGACTGCAGAATGAGAACTTCTGATGAATTGTTCAATGATTTACCAGATTTTGAGATTCAGACTAGCATGCAGAACATGGATGACATTTTCTTGTACAAGCATAAACTTCTGGAGTCCTTATGAAATTTGTTATAATACCTGTAGGAGTTATTTAGTTTTGAGGAATTATTCTCAGCTGCTGATACTAATTGCATCGAATCGGGATTTTTAATATCTTTTATTCATTATTTTTTGCAGGGATTCTTACCCAGTGCAGGATCTAATGCATTTGGAGAATCCATATGAATCGATACATATCCCAGATTCCACACATTCCCCATGGAATTGGAGAATCTCAATGCTTGAAGATTCAGATACTCTTATGAATGATGTGTCAAGAGAAGAAGATGATTTAATTGAGGTAGAATATGGCTTTCTACCTATAACTGATTCTATTAACTTTGGTTATGCGTATACTAGTAACTTGCATGGTGGCATTAAATTGTAAAACATCACATCCTTTGGATAGATGTTAGATAAATTCATTATCTTGTGGATAGTGCTGTGGTAAATAATGCATTTTTATATAAGTTAAATTGGTCAGCCTGTTTTCTGTAAAATTTTGCTCAAGTCTTATGTGCTCTCCATGGACAATCCTCTCTTGTCATTCTGAGTAGCATACTTCTTGTCTTAGTCTTCTGATTTTCTTTGGACTAGATATCTCCTCTGGATAAAGTTTGAAACTTGATAGAGAAAGAGGGGTGGCTTTGAAGTGGAAATATTGAGAAGGGTACTTTTAATGATATATTGGTGTTATAAGGAAACTATTGGAGACGGTTGGCCTAAAGGAGGCTTAGGAAGGTTTCCTTGCAATAGGGGTTGAGAGGTGCCAATGGTGTTTGGGTAGTTGGGTTTTGTTTGAGACTAAGAAGCTTATGGGGATGATTTGTGAGGCCTAGGATGGAGTTAGGATTTGACTATGGTGAGTTGATGATGTGGTGAAATGGTGGGAATACGGAGTTGGTGTTTTGTTAGGTGGGAGTAATGATGTGTGTAAAAATGGTGGAAAAATAAATGGATAGGTTCTAGATTATTTGGATAGGGCTCACAAATGAAGGGAATTCCTTCTCAAGTTTGTTGGGATTAAATGGTGTAACTCTATAACACAAGAGGGGATGTAAATGAAAGGAAAGCAACAAAATAAATAAATAAAATATTAATATAATAGTAGATAAATGCTACTTCACCAAAGAGGGAGAGGAGAGCCTCCAAGTTGATCTCAACGAAATAGCCACCAAGTCAATTGTGGAAGGAGGTTACTTTTCAAATTGATCTAAATTCATCATAATATGATATTATATGTTGTTAGCATGCGTGTGTGTGTGGGGGGGGGTATATATGTAGTCGAAAATAGTCCTTTGACTATTCACACGTCGCATTTAATTTTAAAGAATAATATTTTTTTCAATTTAGTCTATCGACTATACAAAATTGATCATCTCTCAGGATTAAATTGGCCACATACTAATGAACGGGAACTATTCTCTCTCTGTGTCTCTACATTGATTACATGAAGAAATCAAAATATATAACATTAGGGAGGATTGGCCAATGAGGATGTCATGGTTGAATTCTATAAGTCTACACTCTTGCTCGAAAACTTAAAAAGACACTTCATAATTCTTCATGGAATCTTCTTGATTGAATCTTAAACTTCCATTATGTAGCTTGACTCTTGAACTTCTATTCATGCATATTGAATCTTGAACTTTCTTTCATGTATTTTTACCCTTTTGCTTCCATTCATGCATCTTTATTTGACCTTTGAACTTCTTATGGTAGAATAAATGATTTGTACTTGAGTTAGCTTGACTCTTCACCTTCAATGGTCTTCCCAGGAATGAATAATCTAAAGGTAGATGACTTTGGCTTTTTATTAAAATTAAGCTTGCATTGCCTCTTTGCATTGATAATAAAATACAGCACTACTACACAACCTTTTTATGAATTACATTATATCACTACTACATCTCTCTTTATAAATATTAAAACACAATATTGCAAAAATAATAATACAAACTTGCAAACATAATGCGATGAAATTATAAATCTAATAATTCTAATACTATTATAATGTTAATAAATTTGTGGAGGATACCATCCATTTAGTGATACCATCGCCTTCCATTCTTGTCTTCCATGAATGCCACTTTCTTGTGACGCATCAAAGCTCCTTTTAAAATTGCAAAACGCATAAATTAATTGATTGGGAAATGTTCTTTAAAAAGCTAAGTTTGTATCATAAAAGAAATTGATTCTATTGTTGCTTATGAAATGGTTTGTCAGTTACTATTATTTGGTGATTTGGTTGCAGGTATATAAGATTTTCACTCATTTAGTGTGTGAAAACAACATTCTTTGAATCCATTTGGTTACTTGCAGATATAAAACAAAATTTAAGAAGTTTTGATTTTATTTTCAGTCGTTTGGAAGGTGGAAACATAGACATGTCCTTCATAATGTGTGTCACATTCTTGGGTGGTATTTGTTGAAAGATACTAAAGGAAAAATGTGTATTGCCTTGTCCTATTTGTCGGCATGTTATTGGATTTCTACCACAGTTCACTAAAACTAATTACTCATCATTAATCCATAAATGTTGTATCGAATATTGGCTTCCAATTGTTTACTTCTATATCAGCATTGGGTGCAACTCAAATGTATTAGGAAAACCAGGTCAAAATCATGGAAGTTCATAGAATGTTGAAGGTTTAAAGTTTTTGAAGAACTTAGCAAAATAGTTGAAATATTCTTTAAAAAGTCAAGTTTTTTATATAAGTAAAAAGATTTGATAATGTTGCTGCTCATGAAATAGGTTATCTTTAACAGCATTTAACTTATTTGGGCTAAGGATTTCGTTCTTGTAGATAAGGTTTTAATTAAAGCTAACAGTATTTAACTCATGCAATTTCACTTTCAGGATCCTAATTTCGAATCCCACCACATTATTGATCCAATTCCAACGCCTGAGAGTTTCATAACAAGCGCCGCAGATGAACCAATGTGCATGGAGGCAACAGTACTAAAGGAACTTGAAAATGTGATGTTGCAGGTAAACCTGCACTCAACTTGAAAAATTTGTTATATATTTTTGTTTATGTCAGAATGTGTGCTGACTTATTATTTTACTATTTAAAGCTAAACATAGAAACAAGAATCTGCATTCGAGATGCCTTGTATAGACTTGCTAAGAGCTCGAAAGAACAGCATAATTTCAATCTGTGTGAAAGTGGAAGCTTCATGGACTTGCCCTCTTATTCAGAATTTTCTCGTGGAACATCAAGGTATGAAAGCAAATATCTCTTTCTACAGTTTTGTTTTGGTCTTCAGGAACTCAGTGCCTATATTTTCTGAAAAACTATTATGATAGATTGAGTTAAAAATACATCATTAGTATACTAACACTTCTAAAATTTATATATTTTATCTTTTATGTTTTGCTAATTATAAATTTGGTCGGGCAACTACAATTTCTAAGATCATGCTATAAAAGTATGTTCGAAATGTGGTGTTTGACATTGCAATTTTCCTTTTAAACTGAAACAGAATGCACTCAAAGGAACTGATCATTGATGCACCAAATACTAATTTGCTAAAAGCTTTTTTGAAAGCCTGTTCTTTTTGGATCATATAATTTTGCCAACTTTTTTGAAGTTTTTATATCAGTGTAGGGATTTGCATTAGCGTATCCAATGCGAGAGTTACAAGCTAAATTATAGTAAAAAAAAAAAAGATCTAAATGGTTCATGGACTATTTATGATGAATCATTTTAAACACATGTTATCTTAAGTGTCCAATTTAGTTCCTGGATTTTTCAAATCTAGTTCCAAGTAATCTCTTAATTTTTCAAATCTGATTCAAAATAATCCAACAAAAAGATTATTATGAATCTGTTATGCTTCGTGTCATCCAAGAACGAGAGACACCTTTAGAGTAGGTGGGAATTCCAAGGGAAAAGAGAGAAATAAGAAAAAAAGAGAGGAAATCATAAATTCTATTCCATAAAATATATTTTACAATGAGAGTTTATTTATAATACTTAGGTAGACCAAATTTACAAAATGGACATGATCTACTTTGTATTATTTAAATAATAATAGATAGAGCCGGTCTAACTTCACCAAAAAGAAAGAGAAATTAAACTAATGTTTATCACAAATAAGTATACCCATTTTTATGTCGCCGATGCAAATTGTTGTGGAGCATTGTTTCTTCTTTGATAAACTTTCATGGTTGTCTATTGTTTTGACATGTTTTTGGTCCATTCCTCGCACTTTGCTTGTACTAATTTCTAATCCAATAGAATATGTTGATGTCTAACAAAATCATATTTGAGAAGTCGAGGTACTAAATTAAATACATTAAAACGGGGATTAAAATGACTCCATATAATTGTTTTGTCATTAACATAAAATGTAGAAACAAGCAATTCAGACAAACGCAACCATTTCCTATTAACATTTTCCTTTGAAATCGCTTGCATGCTTGTTTGGTTAGTAAGAAGATATTAATTACTGGACCCGGTATAATTTCAGTAACATGCCTGCGTATTTAGTTACAAATACTAGCACTTTTGTATTATTGAAATATTTCTATTGGAGTCCATTAAGTAATTTGGGGATTGCAATATTTGATTGATTGCAGGCAAGAACTATCAGGCAGCCATGAACAGAAGACCAATGTGATAGACAGAGCCATTGCAGCTCTAATGTTTGACAGGCCAGATTATAGAATTTCAGAGTTTCCAAGCTCAGAAGCATTTTCCAATAACAAAGAAAGCGCAGCAGCGTCTGTCTCATGATGTTATTGAAGGATGCTTTTTCATAATGCTTCAGTACATGTTATAAAAAGAAAAAAGGAAGGAAGTCTTGCTGAAATGCCTGATGGAGACTGCAAGAGTCGATGGGAGTAGAGTGGACTTTCAAATATGAAGCAGAAATACGGTAGTAAAATCAACTGCCTAGCAGGAGTTCTTGAACTTGTATTGCTATTTCTATGACCATTTGAGATGTGAGAATGGCTGTTTTGTGTTTGTTTGAGTTGTTTTGATGTGATATATATGTTGTTACAGTTGTTAATAGCCACAATGTTTAGTTTGCAGCTGTTGAGTGTATTGAAATAGTTGCCAAAATGTTGATTTGATAGCTCTCTCCCTCTCTCTCTCTCTAGTTTTGTTGCAAATCTAAATAATATATAGAAATTACATATAATGAAGAAGATTATGATAATTTGACAAGTTGGAGTTTGCCTAACACTCTACAAATTAACATTGTAAGAAGAGAAGAGTGGCAATTCAATGATGTTCACAACTTCAAGTATTAGGCATTGAGCAAGAGAGCAAGATTAGTTAAAGCTTTTTTTCAGCTTCATTTGGAATAGCTTTCTTATATTTTTTAACAGTAAGGAAATATTTACTGACTGTTAAGATTATAATGACTCATTAAAATACCTAATAATAACTTAATAAACATATGATTTAATAAACCTGGCTACCTAAGGCCCACAGAAACCCACCAACTAATCATATTTTACTCATTATTTTTGTTTGCTTGCAATCTTGTGGCTCGGTCCATCGGTTGATGAACAATTCAATTGTTTTAGTCATTATGTTATTTAAATGATTGAATAAATGTGATTTTTTTTTATAATTCAAGATAAAAATGGAACAAATAAAAGTTATAAGAGAAAGGTTTGATCCATTCCTTATGTAATAATTCACTTGAGGGATTATTGAGGCAACCCTACCTTTTCTCCTTTCTCTCTAGTCTTATTGACCAAGTTATCTCTAGTAGGGTTTAGCTTATTTCAATGAAATAAATTTAAAACCAACATCCTTTCATATGTTTTTGCTATGTTGATGGTCTAAATAAGCAACAAAATAGCCACCAATAATGATAATCAAGAGAATGTCTCAATGCTTTAGATGAGAGAATCTTGTAATTTCTAACTTGTTTTAGCAAATGAAGAATCCTTCAATGAAGATGATCCAATGCTTCAAAGAATGCTTCTCACAAACTCCTTTTCTTTCCACAAAGGACTTGATATTTTTTGTCTTAATATCTTTTGTTCGTTATTCCACATTTGAGTATTTGGTTTAAGGGAGAGTACAATGGAGCTTCACTAGAAAGGAAAGTTCAAAGGGCCACTCAATTGATTATTTCTTTCTGTCATATATTCATCTTCCCAAGTTCAAGATGCTAGCCTTGAAATCTCATAGAAACAACTTGCTCGAGTGACCATATCACTTATTTCAAGTTTGTAATTACTTTCTTGGTGGTCATGGATGATGTAATAACACAAAATATCAAATGTATTTTAAAATGAAATGTTTGAATTCTATTTGAATTGAAGCTCTATGATGTAAAGATTGTGAGTGATGCGGCGCTAGGATTGAGAGCACAGTAAATCATCATGTTTCATAGTCAATTTTTCAAATTAAATTTTAAAAGCAATATCAATAATAACTAGATCATGATATTGATATAAAAGGGCCTAAATATACTTGACAAAATTAATTAGCTCCCTCTCTAAACACCTTAATTTTCTTGAGAAACTAGCCACCACCTCTCATTGTGAATTTTTTGTTGGATTTTCTCTCATTAAAGTCATAATGAAATCAAAATTCTTGCTTGCCATGTGTTTTCCCTTCAATGTTTGTTTGATGGTTTGCACCTTTTCTTCATGCCGAAAAATATGAACCACTAAAAAGTTATTATTTATTTGTCCATTAATTATGCTGCACATTGGCTTATTTAATGATATGATTTTTGTTTTCTCATAGCATCATGGGGTACCATGATGATATCATGACTTGAATTTTCAAATATAAAATTATTTGAAAAATTTTAAATTATCCCAATTTACCCCCTCCCTTGCTCATGGGCCCATGTCAACCAACACTCAGGTGAACCTCTAGCTTAATTGGAGTAGCTAGGCCTTAGCTAACTATAATTAGTTAAGACTAGATTAGCCTGTGAATTACTAGGATCCTAATTAATTATTAAATATAATTTGTGTACTGTTTATTGTATTTAAAAGCAATAAAAATATGATATTTTTGTTGTGTTTATGCAGTAAATGTTTAAGAGAAGGTAAAATTCACAAGTATTGAACAGTGCCATAGCGACTACATGCATAACGCCGCATCATGGACATTTAGAATACCCCAATGCCTAACTTTAACATTACGGTGCCGACCTCTTGGGAATTTCAGGAAAAGTCGGCGCCCTAGCGTAGCCAAGGTCAGCGTCGCAGCACTTCACAACGTCGTTGCGCTAGAAATCAGCACAACAACATTGGAGCCTTGAAAAAATGAGTATCAGAGCGCATATCATCGGAACAACACAGCGGTGGATCTAACATTCAAGCGCTGTAGTGCTCAACTTGTTTATCACCACGACGAATCAGTTGTCGAAACGAAAAGTCACGCCGACTTAGCCAAAAGATGTGCTGGTATAATCATTAACTGTGCGAGGTCTGCCTAGCGCTGCAGCGGAGCAATCCCAACAACATTGAGGCGCTAGTTTATTTATCCATGCCGCAACATTAATCTATTGAGCGTCACGGCACCTGAATCTGTTTTGTACTTATACAAATAGTTTTCAGCTCTTTTGTTAAGGAGTTCTATCATTTCAGTTGAGTCTTGTACTTTATAGTGTCTTCTTCTAGTTTTTCCTTAGAGTAAAGTTTAAGGGAGATTAGGGAAGTACAAGATACTTTCATTTGTGAGATCTTAGAATTTATTACGTAAGCAGTTCTATTGTGAGAAGGAGTGTGAAGAATATCAATTGATCCTTCTATGTGACATCTATCTTATTCATTCTCCAATATCTTTTTTCTTATGAATGAAATAAACATGAGTTTGCTTCCTTAGTTATTAATGTTTGGCTAAATCTCTAAGTTTTGAACTAATGATATAAACACATAGCAAGTACTAATATAGACTCTTGTGCTTTAAATTATTTCATAGATGTTTTTAATATCTCTAGTTCTTCATTTAATGCATACAATGATCATGTATGTAGTTAATATCTAGTGTAATTTATAGCCTCGATGGAAGAATATTGAAACAAATAGACATACCTAGACATACGATGCTAAACTTTCTAGGTCCTATGAAGATAGTATAATTATAGGAAGTCTTAAACCACTTTTTTCACCCTTACAAACTCAATAAAGATCTAGAGATGCATATACTCTGATCCACATCTAAAATAAAGAGTCTCATTAGGAAAACTATATTATCTTGCATTTATTAGTCCAAAATATTTTATTTTCATTAGTATCAGATTATCTTGTAAGTTTTTATTACGTGGCAAAAACTCAAAAAACATATATTTTTATATTCAGTATAATAAATTATGCATTTAAATTAAACAATAGTAGTTTAATTACAATTAAGCAGAAAACCTAAACATTTCCTCGTGGGCTTTCATTATATATAAAAAAAAATCTAAACATATATTGAAATCAAACCAAAGTAAGCAATCCACATAGTTTTCAACGTAAATAAGAGATCTGGTTGGCTTCCCCTCCAAGCGTGAAGGAAAACCAAAAGAGTCATGCACTCTTTTTTTTTTAGAGAGTCATACACTATAGTTGGTAGTTTAGGTATATAAGTCCCTTTATATTATTGCATTATAATTAGCAAGGTTTGTATCCTAAAGATATTATTATTTCTTGAAATTAGGGGTGTTAATTAAAATTTGATCAGACCCGAAATCTGACTGAACCCGATTTAGAAAACTTCAGGTTCGGGTCAACCCATTTGTCACATGGGTCGGGTTCATGTTTAAAATTCAAACATATTTTTAAAATCGGGTCGAGTTCGGGTTGACACAGAAACTCAAAATCAACTTGAAATCCCTACTACGCGATCCTGATTCTCGTGCGCGTGATGTATTGGCAGTACATCTAAACCTGCTCGCACCGCTCTCACATCGGCACCTCGTGCAGGGCTCACCTCGCCCACGAGCTTGCATCCACCATCCACACCACTTGTGTCTGCACTGCGCTTGTGCTCGAGCAGTGGAGCCCACTTCGCACTGCCCGCTTGTGTCCGCACCGCTCGCGTCCACGCTCTTGCATAGTCCAGCCCGTCCGCGTCGATCTCTCCGCCACTAGTGTCTGAACTGCTCGTCTGCTCGCGTTGCAGCGTTGGGAAGATGGAGATTTAGGTTAGCGGGTCGGGTCCGGGTTTGAATTTATATCTCATTCACAAAACCGGTTTGGGTTAACCCTTTTGGACTCAGATTATATTTGGTTTTTACCCGAATCCAATCCGAACCCAATTTTGACACTCCTGCTTGAAATAGAATTAAATTTAAGAAAATTTGATAACGAGACCGAAATATATGTGATAACGCATACTAATTAGCTCTATTCGCATACATAGAAATATGCTACATACTAGATAGTGAAAATTTTGAATTTATTTAAGATTTCAATGCTAGATGTGAAGTGAAAGGAGTCCTACTTCCTTTCGCTGACCTACAGCTAGGCCAAAAGGCTCAATAAAAGGAAGCCAAATTTTGGAGAAGATGATCATAGTGATACGCTATGTCAAACTCATGCATGATGACATGACAAACCACATCATTAACATATCTTAAAATCTTTATCATATTTAGAGGTTATAATATGATGGGAGTTATATTTGAACTTCTCCTGTTTATAACTCACCAAAATTCAAAGCAAGAGAGAAGTCATCAACCCCCCGAAGGGGATAGTAAAGAGAAAGTACATGTCCAAAGAGAGAGAAAATCATGTCTTTTTTCATTTAATGATTCTTAATATTCTTTTTGATGTTGGTCTTATAAGTAGTCATAGAATTCTATGTTGTAAGATAATATATTTTAACTTTAATTCATCAATTAGTATCACAATTAATGTTGGAGATTGTGAAAGTGAACATCAAGTGGTGCATAATTTCTAGCAATATTGGCCCTTTAGAACAGTGTTGTTTGTAGTAGTGAAAGTTTGCTTGAAATTCATGTGCATAATTCCTTTGCTTTGATTTTATAGCTTCTAATTTATTCTATGTGCTCTTGCAAGTTATAAAATATTATAGAAATCTAATTAGTTATCTCAACAAGTAACCCTTAACTACAAAACCACTTACTTGAATGCTTTTTGGTAACTTGTGTATAGATTGCAATTTTTATCTTAATACCTAATTTAGTTATCTTTTAGACTAATTAAGGTTAGTTGAAGCAATCCCTCTTCCCAAAATTTTTTTTCTTTTAATTTCTTAAGCTTCATTTTCTTAAATTTTGTAATTAAAAATTTTATACTAAAAAGCTATTTTATAAAATAGTAAGAAAATTATCCTAAAAATATCATTTAAATTTATAAAAATACATTAAAAATTTTTGTATAGCATTTTGTTTCATTACTTATAATCCTCTTAGACAAGCACTTATTGATCATAATAAGCTTATTTTTTTTTCAAATATTTGAAGACCATGTAGCTAAGATGAACAATATTGATATTGAAATTTGTTAGCATTAAAAACTAATGTAAAAATATATCCTTACAACTTGCTTAACTGACTATAATAATGCATATTCTTCTGAAGTAATAAATTAATTGATTTGGATGATTCAATTTGTAAATTAACTAAGCAGATTAATTTTAATTATACAGTTCAGAAAATTAAATTGACCAAACTATATTTCAACCAACTAAATTATATAACAATATATTGCTCCTATTTTATGTGCAAACCCTTCATTTTGGTATGGTTGTAATATGAAATTTATCTTATTCCAATTACCAAAGAACATCTCATTTAATATTGTATAAAAGTTATAATTATAAATAAATGAGTGAAGCATAAAAAATGTAGAATATGATTTATAAAAATTATTACATGTAACAACACTGATACTCGCAAGTAAAATACTTTCCTTTGATAGATTTGAAAAAAGATAGATATTGAAATATTTTAAATAGAATAATTAAATGATGTTTCTATCTTATGAATGAAAAAATACAAATAATTAAAAGAGTGAAAAAGAAAAAGAATTTATAGTAGATTTATTAGAAATTAATCCTATAAAAAAGCTTATTAATTAATTTCATGTTATTTAAGCTTCGTTTGGGACAATTTTTCTATTGATTTCTAAAATAACTTTTTAGTACAAATATTTCTACTTTAAAAAATTTTTATACTAAAAAATTACTTTAAAAAATAATAAAAAACTGCCCCAAACAAAAAAAACTTAATGTAAGTAGTTTAATAAGCACTATAATTAAATATTGACCACATTGTGAACAACTCCAGTAAAAAAATTGTGACAGTATGATTTGGAAAAAAAATTCCATCTAAAGCTAAAGCTTACAATTTCGGCATCAAAGCTTACTTCCCACTGCTATACATTAAGAATACTGTGACCTGCACATGAAAAACAAATATTGTAGTACAAAAAGCAAAGTTTATAAACTTAGGGGCTGTTTGATTGTCCGGGAAAAAAATGTAATTTAAAAAAAATATATTTTAAAATAAGTTGGATGAATATGAAACAAATACACGATATTGATTTTTTTTTGTGCAGTTTGAAGTAAAATGAATGTAAGGTAAAGTACAAAAAGATAGTAGTCGATGGACGACATTAGTAGCGGTGTGGCCAAGGACGGGTGGCCAATGATGGGCGAATGGCGGCTGTGGTGGTTGGTGGTAGATGGCCAATGGCGAGTGGCAATAGCAAGCGATCGGCGGCTTGCGGCTAGAGCAGGGTGGTCTGCGGTGAGTGGGCGTCGACTGTGGAGGTTCAGTGGTGGAGGGTGGCGATGGTCATTGTGGTCGGCAGTGACCGGTGGGCTGCAACCGGCATCAATTGCAATGAATTTCAATGTATTTGAAACTCATCCAAATCGGAGAAATTTTAAATACACAAAAAATGAACTAAATGGTGAATTTCAAATGCATCAAAATTTTATACTGCAATTGTTTTAGTTCATCAAACCAAACGCCAATATTTTCAAAACTCCTGTGTTAGGAATACTTTACACTCCCTTCATAGACAACCAAACAGGCCCCTGATGCATTTATAACAGAAAAAAAAAATTATCAAGATGTTTGGAAATAAATTATCGAATGACAGACTTAAAATTATTAGATTTTTTTAAAATTAGTGCAACCTATGTATGAAGGATGTATAATGCACTAATCTCAAAATAGATATAATAATTTTCATATTCATCTTTTATAATTTATATTAAAATATCTTAACATAACTTGTTTCCTTTGATAGCATTGCCTCAGTCCATTGACAAACCTTGACAACGGATCATGCCGATCTCCTGCCCTATCATTTCAATACCATCATCAGAGAGTAATGTGACCCCTGATGAACTCACCGTGAATGGAAATGCTAGTGGTGGAGAGAGTGGGGATTTTGCCACCTTTATAAATTTCTGACCTGCAGTAGAGTTTTCCCAAAGAAACAGCTTTAAGTAGCATTATAAGCATGAGAAGAGGACTGCTAAAATTTTGATTACTTAAAGAACATTGAATTTTGTAGGAGAGGATGGAAGGCTAGCAACTTCAAATTTCAAACCAAAAAGCTGTATTAAACTAGACTTATATGTAGCATAAAAGATGGTAAATTTGAAATGTTACTCACCCTCAAAAAAACACAGATAGAATCAAGGAAAAAAGAAGAAGAAAACTCCATGAAAATCAAAGTTTGAAATAGTTAATGGTATCCAATGAAGACTAATTTTTCTCAAACCTACTTCGATCTATTTCTCAACACAACCCAATGCCCAAGTTGTGGAAGTGATGGATGCCTACAACACTACCATGTGCAGTTAGACTCGGGTAATGTTGATTTTAAGTCAAAAATTGGCTTGAGAAACATGACGCTCTCAGGAAATTTTAAAAAGAAATTATGAACCTACATCCACGACTACTACCATAAAAGAAAAAGATGTATAATTAGCAAATCTGAACTCCTAATTCCTAGAAGCAGATTTGTTAAATGAAACTTGGGTAAAAGCAAAGAATCATGTATGCATAACATATACAATTGTGGGCTCCAAAAATTCAGCCCCGCCCTCCGCTCGCTGCGCTTTTCTTTTTATTCGGCGAGAGAGTTTTAACAGAATAAGTTCCGGGGTAAATTTTGGAAGGCAGATGGGTTTGTAGATAAGACCCTACCCAGAGATTTCGCCCTCATTTTGCGAGGACTTTATGATCTGAGTTCTGGTTTCCTATAGGCGCAAGCCCCTATAGTTAATTACCCCTCCCAATCACGAGAGAGAACTTTCGATTAAGGCTAGTCGTCGATCAGATACGTAGAAATACATGTTATCTGGCATATAGTAGCAGCA